ACACACAAAAAGAGCACACAAAGCTTTGGGAGACTTGTAAAGTGTTCCTAGGGGTTGAGGGGGGAACAAAAACGAGCAAAAAACGGCCTATTTTTCGCAAGAAAAAGAAAAGCATGCAGAGGCTTTGGGAGGTTTGTAGAGTGCTCCTGGAGGCTGGGGGGGGGGCAAAAAAGAGCAAAAACTGCTCGTTTTTGGCTTGTTTTTGCCCTCCCCCAGCCCTCAGGAGCACTTTGCAAGCCTCCCAAACCTGCAGATCCATTTTTGCAAAGGGGGCGGGGTTTCAGTAGGCCAAAAATGCTATATTCAGTGTAGAAGACGCACCCAGATTTTCGCCCTCTTTTTTAAGGGAAAAAGGTCCCTCTTATACTCTGAAAAATACAGTACTTTATTAAGATGGACTACAGCAACAGAATTTTGCAGTCCTGATTGTGCTTTACCTCTCCTCCCTCTTATAACCAGTAAATTGGGGAGGAGCAGGCCTTCTAAATGTTTTCCTCCTCCCCAGGATTTGAGAATGGTTCAGGCCCCATTTGCTTATGTGATGGTTCTTGCCTTTTCACCTAAGGTTGTCTTCTTGGTACAGAGGTTACCAAGGTGGAGCTTGGTAATAGCCCTTTTAGACTGTTCATCTGAAGATCCTTCACTCCAAAGTGAGGAAAACGCCCTAGGGCCTTTATGCAATATGGTATTGTGATGGGTGTGGGGTTTCCTTTAGAAGGAGTGGGTGTTTTATAGGATAAAGTTGGCCAAAGCATGGCTTTGGGACTAAACAAAACCAGTATTGTGTAATAGGAAGTACATTTGGGGTTGATTTGTTATTTGGGTGAAGGTGAATGAACAAAGTCTGCTTCATGTGCAAGATGGCTGACAGGCAAGAAACACTGAAAGTCATGATTGTACGTATCATAATTTGGTTTGGTCTCAGCCTAGAGGAGTGTGGGATAAAGCCATCCCAGGCAAGTTATCTCCAAACGAACATATCTAGTCTACCAGTTTCTCTACAACAAAAGAAACCATGAAGTTAAGAAATGCAATAATTGAATCCTTTGGTCAGCCATAATGATGTGATAGATATAATGTAAATTTGCCAAACTTCACCATATATTTCTGACCCTCCCTTCCAAACCATACAATGACAGCCCAAGATGGAGGGGAACAAAAGAATGGATTTCTAAATTGGAAAACTAAACACCTCTATTGACAACACGACAATACCTCTAATTCTGCTATTTTTATTTCATTGAACAGCAAGTGGTTGCACCTAATAGCCCTCGATTGATATATAAAGCCTAAGAAGGTTTACCCCAAGAATATTTGGGTGGGAGGTCAAAACAATTCCAGTTGTCAACCAGATTGGGAAGTTGAACAAATGCTCTGAAAGGAGGTGATGACAACTCATTTCCTAAATGAGTTGCTAGCAAATGAAGTCATGATGGAGTCATCAGGAATCAAGATTAATTTATAGGGGTATTGTTAGTCTTCCGGTAGAATTGACGTAGGGAATAATCATGTAGAAGTTGTTTAGAACAGAAGCAAAAGAATTGTTACGGAGTGTCAGGGAAGTGCATAGGGGTGTCAATCTGGTGGCCCGCGGGCGGGATGCATCACATGCAGGCCATACCCATCCCAGCTCTTCGAATAGGGAAAACATCACATGATGGCAAAGTGATGCCGTGTGTTTGAGACCCGGGGCTCATAGACTAAAAGCAAGACAAAGTATAAAACAAATATGCTTGATGAATGACTTGGGGGGGGGGGAATACACTTTAAGAGAATGATCAATTACTGTGCTACTGTTATCTGTAGAGAAAGAATGATAGTTACAAAGAATGTAATTAAAGAACCATTTCAAGCAGAGGTGGTTTCCGGCTGCTGCTACTGACAGTTCTCTCAGGGACGTGCTGCGTGTGTGCGCACATTTGCAGTACTAAAAAAAAGCTGCATGCGCAGAAGCAAAAAACAAGATGGCAGCACCTATGGCACCTCCAAGAGAACCGGTTCACAGGCATGGCAGGCCGAGTTACTACCTACTTGGCCAAACTGGTCTGAACTGGTAGGAACCTACTGTACTTCTGATTCCAAGGCAAGGAATGATTTAGGATTATGAGGGGCAGAGAAATGCAGAATGATATAGATAAAAAATAAATTGTTTTGGAAGTGGGGGGAGGAGGAGCCTTTCCGGAGTGAATACAATTTAAATAAAGACTTGAAGAAATGGTAAACAGAAGACCGCTCTGCAAAAAGCAGACCACGATGGAATGAAGGACCAGCAAATAGACTGGCTCTTGATAATTCTTCTTTGGACAAGGAGAAGACTTGAAATTGCTCACAAGTGTCCAAGAGAGTGGTCTCTGGTGGGCTTAGGGCTTTGGGAGAGGATGAAATAGCCCGTTATTCCAATCATGGCTGCAGGGGTGGGTTTCTCGCCCCGTTCCAACCGGTTCGGTTGGAACAGGGCCGGCGGCATCCTCGTGCACGCGCGCAGCGCAGGCATGCGTACTAGCGTCTGTGTGATCCTCCAGGTTCTCCTGGAGGATCGCGCAGGTGCTGTATGTGTCCCGCGCATGCATGGAAGCGCAGAACTCGTCAAAACCGGGTAAGGAACGCGGGCGGGCGGGTGGGCCCTTCGCTGTTCCCGGAAGTTACTTACTTCCGGGTTCGCCGACCAACCGGTTCGCGGGGACCGCCGCGAAC